AAAGAACCAAAATAATTAAAACCTACTTAAGCACCTTCCCCGGCAACGGCGCCAAAAACTTGATGCGGCTTTGGGCTTCAAAAATGCTACAAAATAGGGAAGAGAGATTTTTAAGGGGTTTTTACATTTAATAATATTTATTTATATTTTCATTCATTTATATGCAAACTAAGCTAACAACAATTATTAATGGTATATTTATTCATGTAAAATAGATAATGAGGGTATAAAATTGTAATAAAATGTGATTATCATGGGTTCTTCCTGGTATCGATGGAATGCCTCCCTCAATGTTCGTGTCGAGTTTGCTTTTCGTTGACGATCCGACGTTTCACCTCGCGGAACAGTTGAATCCTCTTGATTAGATGTTGAGGAGAACTTACGTGGCAAGTTTAAACAGAACTCTTAACGAGTTTAAGAACTCAGAACGAGTTTTAAACTATATAATAGAGTTGATTTGAACCAAAAATCAGTATTAAAGCTAAGCACCAAGCTTCAAAAACCTCTGTGACATAGAATAACAAATATTCAATTATATGGTCTCCGGGATGCACCCCTGCCCGTCCAATCCCGCTGAGTCCTGCCATTCAACTGCTGGGCCCTGGAGCAAAATTTTTCACGTGGAATGATGACATTTTGGTAATTCCTCAAAACAACGAGGGTAAATGAAATTTGCCATCTGGCTCTAAGAGACGAGATCTGAGCCGTACGTGCCCCCCTCTTACCTCCCAGTCGCTTTTTATAGCTGGCTCCCCTTTATTTGGGAATTTCATCCCCTCACTCCCTACTCACTCCCTAAGACTATCTCCAGCAGGGGTTTTTTTGGGGGGTTTTTGGCTCCAGCAGGGGGTTTTTGGAGGGGTGAATTGGAAAACCGAAATCGGATGGGTGAATTTTTCACCTCCGGTTTTTCTAACCTCATGGGTCCCGCGAATTGTCCTTAGCCCATGCTTGGAGCCATGTGTCAAGGCTTGGTTGGTTGGCCTTTTTTGTTTTATTCTTAATTTTTAAATGATATTTTGGGAGATAAATACTAGGAATTAATTTATAATTTTTATAGCAATAATTTTTATTTTTTCACCTCTATAAATAGAGATTAGTCTTGTGTAATTTGGACACAAAAAAAAATCTGAGTTTTCAACACCTTATTCACCTTCTCTTTGCTTTTGCTTCTATATTCTTCAAACTTTTTCAAATGGATCCTTCACAAAATTATCCTAATTTCTCCTACAACTTTCCTAACCAGCCTCACCTCAAAATCCAAATATGCAAGCCCTGGAAATTACTCAAAATGCTGGTATGCAACCCAATTTTCAAATGCCGTATATGATGTCACCAAATTTTGGCATGCAATACCCTTATCTTCCTTACGGTTATCATCCAGCTGCGGGAAGCAGCTATGTTCCATCCCATATGAATTTCCCTACCACGGAGTCGATTGAGCCACCGACACCTCGGTTCAGTAGCGGATCTACAGAAATCCCGGAGTTTTCCACCCAGATCTCTTTGGGAAATGTTGGTGGGGATACTCCTCATAGTTTTCTACCTCCAACCCAACAACCAACAAAGAGATCAAGTTACGATAGTTGGAGCACAGAAGACAACATAATTCTGCTAACTGCTTATTTTCACGCTAGTAATGATAGTGAGCTGGGGAACAACCAAAAAGGTGAAACTTTCTGGGGTAAAATTACACAGTATGTGAATGAGAATGAGAATGGCAAGAGTGGAAAAGAGAGGACCATAGCTCGGTGCCAGAGTCATTACAAAGACATCAACAGAAAAATTTCTAATTTCATTGGCTGTTACAGTACTGCATGTAGGGAGAAGCAAAGTGGTTGGTCTGATGAAAACTACATATCCAAAGGCAGGGAGTTGTACTTTGAGAAAATGGGTACATCGTTTAATTTGGTGGATGAGTGGAAGGTTGTTCGCAATCAACCAAAATATATGCCAGGAGTAGCAGTATCGGGTAGTAGCGGTTCGAAAAGAAAGAGTAGTAGTGAAGATGTTGAATCCTCCGCTCCTACCCTCGTACGTCCTGAGGGTAGGGACACGACAAAAAAGAAAGCTAGAGCTTCGTCCAGTAAACCAAGGAAATCGAAGGTCGAAATTCAGGATGAGTTATCCAATATAGTCACCTCTCGTGAAAAGGCGGAAGCGAATAGAGCAAGTACTGTTGAAGCTATGAATGTCCTCGCTCGTGCCAAGAATATGGAGACGTGGAGATTTTTGAAAAACAAACTAGATCGTGACGATGAAGATGAAGAAGCATATCAGTTGTTGAGGAAAGAACTGTTTGGCAAATGAAGAAGTTGTTGTTTGTCTGTTAGTTTGTTTATGTGTTTTTAAGTGTTTTTTTAAGTGTTTTGTGTGTTGAAATTGGAGTGTTGAATAAAATCGTTGTTTTTTATTTGAATAAATCCAATTGAAATGACTACTCCCTCTACAATTGAATTGACAAGTCTCTGCAATTAAAGTTAAAAAATGTATGAATTGACAACTCTCTGGTATGAATTGACAACTCCCTGCAATTAAAGACGAAGGGTTGAATTGACAAGTCTCTGCAATTAAAGACAAGGCATGAATTGACAACTCCCTGCAATGCATGCCATACGCCACATGTCGTTGCAATTGCATGTTTTTGAACAAAGGTTTTCATTATAAATGCTGACCAAATGCACAACTTGGAGTATACCTATCAACATTTTTTCTACATACCCTCCAATGGATCCAAACCTAAATGAATTCAATCTCGAATACTTCCAACAAGAATGGGAGTTAGAAGATAAAATGTTTGATAGGCAACAAGAACTGCTTGAAGAGTTGCTTAGAAGAGAAGAACAACCGCGCAAGAGAAAGTCCATATATAGAGATCATCAAGCAGCGCATGAGAGGCTCATGGCCGACTACTTTGCCGAATCATGCACATACACTGATGCCCAATTTCGACGAAGGTATCGAATGAATAGGCCTCTCGTTCTACGAATTGTGGATTCTATGTCAAATTTTGACGTTTACTTCACACAACGTCGTAATAATGCGGGCAAGCTTGGTTTAACCCCTATCCAAAAGTGTACTGCTGCCCTACGCATGCTCGCATCTGGAGTAGCAGCTGATGCTTGTGATGAGTACGTGAAGATAGGAGAATCTACTGCGGTTGAGTGTACTCAGAGGTTTTGCGAAGGGGTAATAGCCTTGCGTCATATGATTTGTGGATATGGCATGCTTTTTTTGGGCTTCCTGGTAGTTTGAACGACATAAATGTACTAGATAGGTCACCCGTTTTTGATGACATTGAGTCTGGTGAAGCTCCAAGGGTAAACTTCACTGTTAATGGACGGCAGTACAATATTGCATACTATCTTGCTGACGGAATCTACCCAAAATGGCCTGTCTTCGTCCAGTCAATTCAAATGCCCCAGGGATCCAAACAACAATGTTTTGCCAAACAACAGGAGTCATGCAGGAAGGACGTGGAGCGCGCATTCGGGGTTCTCCAAGCACGGTTTGCTATTGTCCGCCAACCAGCTCGAACGTGGGATCTTGAAGTCTTAGGTAAAATAATGAGGGCGTGCATTATTTTACATAACATGATAGTGGAAGATGAACGAGATTCGTATTCGCGAAACTGGGAAAATATCGACTTTGAACCGTCAAACAATCCTAGCTCTTCCGCCTCTTCCAGTGTTCAAACAGACGTATTGCCTGAGTTTCAAGTCCATGTTCGAGACCGATCCGGATCGGATAATCATACTAGAGCCGAACTACGAGATAGGAGCCAACATATTCAGTTGAAAAAGGATCTCATCGAGCACATTTGGCAGAAATTTGGAACAACCTCTGATTAGATTTACCAATTTATTGCGTGTTTTCTTTAATGTTTTCAATAATTTGTGTGTGTTTGACTTTTCCGTATGCTTAATAAAATCGTGTGTTTTTTTGTTAATATAAAAATATTATCAAAAATTAAATTAATAATATATATTATTTATGTAAATATTAAAAATTTATAATTATAAATAAATGAGTTATATTAGTAATAATAATAGTAGTAGTAGTAATATATATGAAATAAGAAAAAGAAATGAATAAATAAGGTGGGGTATATATGTTGGAGTGATGGTAGAAAATAGTGGGTCCCAAATAAAGTAAAATTTTTTTGAAAAAACTCCTGCTGTAGAGATGATAAAAAATAAATATTATTGAATTATGTGAAGGGGGAATAAAGTAATATGACAGGAGAAAGAGAAGGTTAAAATTTGGACTCCTGCCGGAGATAGTCTTCTATCGTTTTCTCAATAGTGCCGCCGCCGCAAGCCGAACCCAAATCCAACACCCATCAAGTCTTCGCTCGGGTAACAGTCAATCTAAATATTTTTTTTATTCCTAGTTGTTAATTTTTCTTTTTTCTGAAAAAGAAAGAGCAAGGCCCTACTCGCCTTAATAAATCCCCAAGAAATTAAATTCAAAGAGAAAGGAAGGCCACGGTCGAGGATCGAGAGAACACGTTTCTCGATTCTGGGCCGCGTGATAATGAAGGTCCCTTAACCAAACACGCTTCGATTCTCAATCCCTCCTCCTATTTCTCTCAACTCACCCACTTCAATTTCGATTTCTATTGCAATCTGTAGCTTCTCTCAATCTTTTGATGGCGGGTTCTTATTCTTCTGCTGCTTCTGAATCGTACGATGATGTGGAGGAGTTCTTATGGGTCGGTATTTGATTTCCTTTTTCTTTTTTCCGATTTTTTTGGTTTTCGGCTAAATTGGGAATTTGGTTTCTAACATGGGCAATTTATGCAGATGGAGGATGAGAATGATATGGGAATTCCGAGGGAGAGGTTTTCCGAGGTTTTCGAGCTAATGCGGAGCGGGAATCGGGCTTTTAGAGCTGGCAGATTTGAGGATGTGAGTGAAAGAAAAAACTTTCATTCGATTGAATTTTTGGGATAAATTTAAGACTCATGATATGATGAAGTTAAAGACTCATTTTTTATGCAGTTCATTTCTTTGTTTGGACTTGATTCTGTTAAAACCCATATTTTAATTAGTATGCTGTAGTTTACTTTGGAATCTTGCCTTAACAAAAACATGTATTTAGATGTAGGAACCTTTTTAGTTTTGTGTTGCTCCTTGAAAGTTCGATGAATGAATGCATGAGGCATTCTGTCGTAGCCTGCTCAATTTGGCTAATGATAGTCATGTATTTCAATGCTAACTGCTTAGACATTTTAAGATTGCTGCTGCTTTATAGGGCCAAAACTGAATTTCCCATTTCCTTGTTTACAAGGAAAATACTATTGTTTCTAAAATTGACATGATTAACATTTGAGTTGCCTCTGCAGGCTGTTTCCTTTTACTCTAAAGCTCAACTTTTGAAATCAGGAGATCCTATCATTCTGAGCAACCGTAGTATTGCTTTTTGTAGGTGAGTTCCTTGGTGATTTCAGTTTAGCCCATTATTGCACACCTTGTTTATTCTGGCTGTTTCCCTCCTTCTCGAAAGAAGTCTAGTGCAAATTCTCCATTAAAGATAAATGGAGCAATTAAAGAAGATACCTAATACTTTGATGTGTTTACGACAGGATTAGCCAAATCCTAAAAGAGAGGTCTGCAAGTGACTCTGAGTACGACCCGCTTAATGGGCTTGACCCAACAACACATGCTGAGGTGTAACTTCTAGTGTACTGCCTGAAGGAAAAATAAAAAAAGAAAAAAAAAGAAAAATCCACCACTGTATCACTTTACTGCTAGTTCATTCTAATACTTTTGTGGAATATTTTAGCTTTCACTTAAGGATGCTGAGAGAGTATTGAATCTTCGGAGTAGTTCACCAAAATCGTACTTTTTGAAGGCCAAGTCTCTTGTACTGGTAATTGTTCTCATTTCTTGGTCCATTTACATTTATTAATTAAAACAGATCGATGTGCATCTTATTGTATCGTATGCTATCTTGGTAGCACAGTGCTTTGTTTTTTGTTGAATGTGGCCATGAGGCTGCATTTTCTATTGGATGCACCATTTACAATTGTTTTACTTTTTCGCTGCCACATTATTTGATTTCAATTGACTGTGATTACATTGCTATCTTCTTGTTCGTGTTCCATGACTTGTGGACTGTACTGATTTCAGTATTGCACTCTGGGCTAATTCTTTGTCAATGAGTTTTTCCACCTTTATCCTTGATGAAGGGAAGGGAGTCGTTCATTTCTACAGCATTCAGTGTAAAAATATTATTTTCGCTGCTTGTCTGGCTTTTGATTGAGGTTGGAAGACTTATACTCAATTTTTTGGACATTAAGGTAGGTGCGTAGAACGCTAATTTCAATCACGCCATCATTAGGTCAACAAGAGTGAATAACAAGTGGATGTTCCCCACTTGCTCACTGTGGAGCCAAAACATTGATTTTGGTCGAGAGTGTGAGAAGCAACAAAAGCTTTCACCTGTTGATCAGTATATCCTACGATTCTATCTATCGCGAACTTGTGTCTAGTCTGGATTATTCGGATTTCATCTAGTATCTTCAGAATGTGCATAACACATGTAACACTTTGTTTTGTTATTTTTTTTATGAGCACATATGCTAAATGATCTGCTTGACGAAGTTGAGATGCATATTCCTGACAATTATGAAGAGCTCCTTTGCATTGTGTAACGAGATTGACGATAAGATGTCTTTAGTTATGATGCCATAGAAAAAATTTATTTTTCTCGTAACTTGTAGAACTTTATTTTCAAGAAGAATCTTGCTAATTAATTTAAAACCTTAATTTTCGAGTAATGGTTACTGTGGAATGGTTAAGAAAATTTCCTTTGAATATCATCTTTTGGTAAGATGGAAGTAAATGATGCTGATAGGGAGACTTGCAGGGATGTTTTCTGGTTGTTTGTGTGGTTGGAAAGGTTGTGGTAAGATATTTACGCTGAATTGTAACTGATGGTCAGATAAAAGTAGAATAAGGATAGAATTTATTTGCGGAACTTCTCCCTAGTTCCTGCAATAACCCCCTTGAATATATTGATCAGTCCTTAAAAATTTGCATGCAGTTGCAAGTTCATTAAGATGGGCAGAACCCCTCAGTTCCTAATTCATCTGGGTGTTAGCGAATCACTGCAACCCCTACAGCCATGAAGTTTGGTGCAATGACTGGGATATTATGACTGGGATATTATGACGTACCATCCATCCATCTATTGGAATTGGTTATTTACCCTCCTTAGTTCCTAGTCTATATTTGAGGTTGGCGCTACTTCCCAAAATTTGTTTACAGCAAGCATTGGACCCATACGTTTTTACTCCTATTGGGTGGACTCACCTCAAAGCTTTTAAGCTTATGACAAATCAACAATTGTTTTCATTATTCTGGTTTATTTGATTTCATTTTAAGTATGATCATGTTGACTGAGCAATACTTTTTCTGTTAAATTCTTCTCCATGGTGGAAGAGGATGGTGATGGAGGTAATACATGTATTGCGTATTTTGATACTTTTTCTAGTCTTAACGCGAATAGAGGGTTTATGAATAGTCAGGGAGGCTTTATCTTTCGAGTTTGGCTCTTCTGCTTATGTTTTTGACCATAATATTTATAACAGTTAACCGCAGGCAGTTAAGTTTTGTATCTTTACTTTTCGTGTACTTGGTTTTTTGTTTAGGGTTTGAACAATTCCTGTTGTTTTACAGTTGGAACGGTATGGAGATGCAAGGGAAACACTTATTTCAGGTCTTTTAGTCGATCCTCTTAGGTATAAATTTTAATTTGCACATAGTAGTGGTGTGCCAAGAAGTCCTTTAATATTTATACTTTCTGCCTCATGCAAGCACATCCTATTTGTATATGATGTAAAACCATGAGATCTATGTATGCTCTTTTTTTTTGTATGATGCAGCCACGAGCTTCAGACCAATCTCCGGAATCTTGACAACCTCACATCTGATTCAGTAACAAGGGTGAGACTTCGGAAGCTCCAGCGTACAGATGACTTTGAATGTACACTCTGTCTGAAGTTATTATATGAACCAGTTACTACTCCTTGTGGACATTCTTTTTGTCGCGCTTGTCTGCTTCAAGCTTTGGATCATGGTGAGCTTAAGATTTATCATGACCTATGGAGGGTGTTGGTGAACCACATATCCTGATATTGTATGAATGGCAGGTAACAGATGTCCTATGTGCCGCACAGTTCTATTTATCAGTCCCAGAACATATCCTGTTAGGTAATGCCCCATCATTCTATTTCATTGTGGATTTACATACAACTGGCACAATCACTATATTCTTTGCAGCTGAAATCATTTTTTTTACCTTCATGGTTTTATTAGTGTTATTCTCTCTTGTAGCTTCTGATTTCAGTTTTTGTGACTTTCTCAGTGTAACGTTGAACAACATTATACAGAAAAATTTTCCTGATGAGTATGCTGAGAGGAAGTCAGAGAATGAAAGTTTGACACACTTGGGCATCAATTTAATGCCTCTTTTTGTCATGGATGTTGTTCTCCCATGTCAAAAGTTATCGCTTAATATATTTGAACCTCGTTACAGACTAATGGTGAGATAATTTGCTTTGCCTCATGTTTTAACTAAGTTGCTTAAATTTTGTTTAAATTAACTATTTGTGATATCTGGGATTCTTTTGTTGTCTATCATAATTGAAAGAAGTGTTTGAAGTTCCATGTTTTGAATTTTGGGATATTGATTTGATCTGTAAATTTCAAGCCCTGTTTTTTTTATTATCAAGTGATCATTTGTAGTCAAACTGAGCTTATTGCTGTCATTGATTTTTCTGGGTTAATGAACTGAAACAGCTAGATATTATTGTGATATGGCTTCTCCATAGAGATGTGATGAAATGATTTTTAGCTAATTTAACAAAGTCATGACTCTTCCTTCACCCTTTTCTTTCTGTTATCTTTTTCCATGTTGTCTTTAAATTGTGTATCATTTCTGCAAACTCTGATATTATATCAGATCCTTGGATTGCAATTGCCTTTTGATTTTCATTTCTTGCAAAGTTATCAAAACACCTGCTTGGGACATGAGAGCGTAGAGATCTTTGTTATTGAGTTACTAATTGTTTTATAACTATAAACTCATCTGTACTTGAGGGAGAGAGGGAGTGGATGTAACATTTCTGATTTCTGTTTGGACTGTTTTGCTTGCTATATTTGAATTATCTTCTCATAAGTGTCTAGTAGTTGATTATCAAAAAGTGATGCATTATAAAAAGATGCCTTACTGCAAATTTTAATAATCGGTAGATCAGATGATTGAATTATCATCAGGTCTCAATTACATTGTATACTTTAGAATTTGGTTTTCCTTCGTAAAATCAACTAAAGTTGACCTGGTATTATATCTTTATTTTATTTTCCTTTTTCTTGTGCACAGATCTGGTGCTGTTAATCATTATTTTAGTTTATTTGAACAGGTGAGGAGGATAATGGAAGGAAATCATCGGATGGGAATGGTTGGGCTTCATTCTTTCTTGACTCAATACATGATGATTCTACTCTTTTGCTCTGAATGATTTGTCTTTTATCTAACTGAATCTTGCAGGTTATCCTTGATTCCATGACAGGTTCAATTGCCGATGTCGCTTGTGAAGTGGAAATTGTTGAGTAAGTGCCTCTCTTCTCTTGTATTCTTCTTTCTGGTTCCTACCAAAACTCATAACCATTTGCTTCATTATAGGTGTGAGGCTCTTCCAGATGGACGGTTTTATTTGGAGGTAAAACCGTTGCCATTACAATTTCAGAAATGTTCTTCCAGCTTTGATGTTATTTCTGAGGCAATATTGTTTACATTTATTGAAGATGTTGCTGCATATATTGATATATTGACGTTATGATTTTTTATGACTTTCTTTGGTTCACATCTATTTTAAATGCGTATATTGGGCAATTGCCATGATTGTGGGTTATTTGTTGCATTCTTTTCCCAACCTCTGGTTGCTGGCTTTTGCTACCTCCGGAGAAATAGAGCTAGAGGTTACATGAAGACTGCAAGCTAAAGACATCTTAATTGTGGAGTATGTTTAATCTAACTTAGGCTGGAATATCTGGCATCCTCAGCACTAGACTTCCTGAAAGCTCTAGTGCAGTACTTAACTATGGAAAATTTACTTTCTGTCATATTTTTCTTGTTAACCATGGCCCGTGGCTACCCCTAGTAAAATTGTTGGGGGAATGACTCATGCAGTGAGCCCTAAAAATGTTGAACAAAAGTTTTGCCGCTCTGTCGCTACCTTAACTGTAGGTATGCCCAGCTTGGGAAGTTCGTGATTTTGTTGTCTATCTAATAGGTAATACCACATTCTTTATCATTTCTCGAGCCAGAATATCTAAACAATTCTTGTACATCTCAAATAATATATTCCACGACAGAATTTAAATATTCCTTTCCACTTGCTCTGTAAGCTTTTTGTTTCACTACAAATACATAATTCTATATTCCTGTAATTCCATTTACCCTTTTCATCTCTAACTGCTTTTCTCCTTTTGCCTGATTGTTGTTTTCCGTTTCTTGTTGAAATGTCCATTTCCATTCAATTTACAATTTTCATCTGATACTTGTCTCCTCATTTTAGCTCTTCGTTTGTCTTGACCCTTGCTTGTTTATCTTTTTACAATTTCTTGATGCATTGAGATCATGGGTTCTCCTCTTTCTAATCCTCTTTGAGCTCGTACACGTGCTGGATTTATCTTTCACTCCTATACAGGTCAATTGAACTTGAAGATTTCTAGTTATATTTTATTTAACTTGTTTTTTAGGGTAGCCCTTGATGCAATGTAAAGTCTGTTCCACTTTGACCTGGAGAGTTCCAGAAAATGCCTCTCGATATTGCAGGGAAAGGTGCAGACGTCTGACCCTGAGCAGAACCGGCAATGGAAACATTCTTGCCTTGATCTTGGGCTATCATCCCAGGTCATGATATGGTTGCAGAGTTGAGGTCATCCTTGTCTTGAACTTAGGACCAATAGAATTCAGGCTAAGAACGCTTTACCTATGATCGTTGGGGATTCAATGTAGGATCAGGGCATCCAAGGGCATTAAATTACACGATGAATATCTAATTTCCATGCAATGACAAATATCAAATCAATAAAAAATTCCTATTATGGAAAGCAATGAACAACATTTTTATTACCGGTAAACATGGTACCATTGAACTGTGGTTGCAAGTTGCAACACTGTACATCAGTATTCTCTGTATCGGATGTTGAGACATGTCGTGTGGAATATTCCACATTAGATGATGGATGTCCGGGATATTTGATAAACATCAAAGCGTCATATTGGATAATGTGTACACAAACCTTAAATGTCTATACGCGATGCATCGGGTAAAATGGAGCTTTAAAGAAAGATGCTATCAATTTTTCATGTTTAAATCATGAAAGTTTTGAAGAAGTTCCTATATTTTGAAGCGCATAATGCCAAGACTAACCCTATTTTGCAATTAGCTCCAAGTTATGCCTTTTTGAGATCTTTTGACCCAAAGCTTAACATAAACTCCATGATGAATGAAAATGGGGAAATAGGTTTAAGTGGTGAAAGATTTAGGGGAAGAGAAACTTACCGGGAACAAACAGTCAATGAAAAAAAAGGGTTTAGTGCCAGCAACAGTCGATGATAAAGGCATGTTCAAAGTGGTATCGCAACAAAATCCATCTCGAGGTAAATTGTTGGGTATGAGTGAGTCACAGAACTCTCGCAAGAGAATTTGGACTCAGCTGGGTCCTAATTCTTCTCTTTTGGCCATTACATGCACAGGTATTTATTTGGATTTAAGCCTAAGCGAGTCATATATCCAAACCCAATCTTAAAAAAATAAAAAATAAAAGCTCAAATGGATATTACAACATTTCTGCCGATATTTTAAGGCCAAAATATTGCCCGATATGTGATAAACAATTGTAATAAATGATTGACAATATTGAAACAATATCGTTTTGCAGCTAGCCTTAAGAAATGGCATAGCAGCTAGTATATCGGCCATGTCAGCCAATATTATAACAATGTTGTACATATTACTGAGGACTTGTTATCTCATGGATTCTGTCAAAACAATGGTTCACACCAATTGCTTTCTGAATTAAAATTGTTCAATAATCACTCCACTAGATATTTGTTGTTTTCTTAGAAAGGATAGCCTAGGCCCATAACACCCTGATATTAGACAATATTGGGAGGAAGGTTTGAACACAAGACCTCTTGCATGACTATAAAATCCCTTACCACTGGGATGCTTGGCACTCTTTACTACATTTCTATTATCCTAAAAATTGTGCAAGTTACTCTTGTGATATTTAGGGTTCCATTATTCATGCTGTGGACTCCTTTTTATAGTACACTCCAAATTTTTTCTCCGCGAGTTTGTAAAAATTGTACTTAAGACTTTATCTTTTTGTTACTATATGTAGGTAGAAGGTCGGAGGCGTTTTCGCATTTTAGAATCATGGGATCAAGATGGGTGGGTTTTCTAGCCTTTTTTCACACTAAGTATCAACATGTTTATTTATAAGCTAGATATCTATCAATAAACGTAAAGATATTTGTGCATGAATTTCAGTTAAATGTATAATTGTTGCAGGTATCGTGTTGCGAAAATTGAGTGGATTGAGGATATACAGCCTCCAGAAGGGTCTCCGGAAAGAGAAGATGTAAGCCTGATGCTATTCTTTGCTATTTGCCTTGGATGCATGGGGGCACTGACATATGTTTTTACCATTATCATTGCCTTTTACACTTGTAACAACTGTGTTGGTCTTTATTAGCATATACACCTACTTAGTAAAATTAGAGGGAGATGTCCTTGAGACTTAGAAGACTAGTTGGTGGTAGGATAACTTATTGACCTTGCTGTATATGTTATGCAAGAAAAGGAAAAAGTCACTGCATTAAGAAAATTTTGCTGAAGTAAGCAGGCTGACAAATTTTTGGTCAAATAAGCAGGATGACAAATTTAGACAGAAATAACAGTTGCATTACCTTACAAACTGGTGAACCAAGTTAAATATATATTCCTCTGCTTATGTATTAATGTCACAGTCATGAAAGATAGAGAAAATATATCCTGTATTTTGTCAAATAGCCTTTTACACTCTCCAATTGAATTATCCTTTATAATGTATTGTAGCCTTATACATTTCTTTCACTTTGTGCATTAGCTGGTTGTTTTACCTTTTTGTTTATTAAAAATTTGTCCAAAGATGCGCATTTTTCCTGAGATCTACTATCGATTTTCTTGCATTTTATAAAAAAGGTTCAAAACATAAACTGTTTGTGGTGCAGGTAGTCCATTTGCTATTTGGTGTAAACTGTTATAGAATGGCCATACAATTTTTACTATTTACATCTCTATGTAGATAGTTTTATCTGATTGCCAGTAATTTTTATGAACTTTATACAGTTTATATCCTCAATAAAAGAGTTAAGAATTTTAGATATGTTTTCAAATGAAGAATACAGTGAAGGGCAATAGATTTTCAAGAAAGGAGAACATAGTTCTAGTGAACTCATTTGAAAATTCGCGGTATTGTTTACTGAAGACTCTCTCCAAAAATTTTGTGAAGGAAATTTGTTTTAACATTAGAGTAGTAGACATAATTGTTAATTAACCTGTACAAACTGTTTCGTCAACTACTGGTAATCTTTGTCTGAAATTGTTTTACAACATATATGTATGGTCTTATGTTAAAAAACTGTTTACAGGAAAAAGAGAACTATTAATTCTGGATACTGTTTCTTTGATAGACGTACAAAATTTTACAGGAAAATATTTTATGCAGTTTTTAAAAGACTAAATTTGACTGCTATACGTATGCCTTTGTACAAAAGCACATAGCACAGTCACACGCTTGGAAACAATGTGTCCTAGATGAATTTGATAGAGTTCCACATTTGATACTTGAGGGATACTCATGTCTATGTCACTTCATCGTAGGATTAAATATTATTCTGTGCTCGTGTAGCCTTAAAATCCTAAAGTTCAGAATTTTGTTTTCGGGAGGCTATAGTAAAGATCTGCCGTATAACTGATTGGAAAGTGTAATAACTAATGTATCAGAATTTTTTCCAACGAAAATAATAGATGAGACAAGATTTTCATGGTCAGGAGGGATGGCACGCATAATGCACATAATTATAGTTTGCAACCTATGATGAAGTGCGACTTTATTCCTGAATTTCATGTTCATAATTCCTTTAACAAGCCATATAATCTAACTGGCAATGGTTTATTGTTATATGGAATGAGGAAGTGGATTGAATTATGCAAAAGAGAAAATGTAGGTATATGCTCGTCGAAATGTTAATTTGTTTGAAAATTCACCATCTTTCTATGATTATTTCCACTGGTGAGGGGAGAATGTTTGCCCTTATGTTTCTTACATATTTCTTTGATGGATAAACATTCAATCAGTTTTCCCTATTTCTCCAGTAGGACTGTTCTTTAATATTTATAAATCTTGTTGATGAAACACTCAGATCTGCTAACTTACATTTCTCATGGTTGTCAACAGCTACAGCAATTGGTTATTGCAGCTGCTGAACTAGCTCGAACATCAATAACGAATGCCAGAGAAGCTGCAAGAATGGGTATTAATGCAATTAACACCATATGATGCATTCTCGCTGATCAAATATTTGCTTTTTCATTATCAACTATACAACACGAACACGTCTATTATGAAGTTGTATGTGCGTTGTGCAAATACATTTTTCCTGATCACTCTTGGAGGCGCTAGGCCTGTACTTACATGTGTCTCATTATATAATATGTTTTAGTTGAGAGCACTTGTTGCAACATGTTTAAGATGTCTTACTTTTTTTTAGGGGCTGTTTGGTTTGTTACAAAAATAAATGGCAGCAAATCTTGCAGCAACAAATGTTGGATGCATCATTTGATGCAGAAAATCAACTCCAGATTTGATGTTTGGACGTCAATAATTATATTGTAGGAAATATATTTGTAAGTGTAACTTTAGTGTTTGGTTGAAAAATCATTAGGAAAAAGCTAGAGAACTTTGCCATATAAGGAAACTTAGGTGTAGATAGTTTTCTGTTTGAATTTAAAAAGATTTTTTGATGAGGTGAGATATTTATTTTTTAATTCTCTTTTTTGACTCTTGCACCTTTTCCCCTCACAAAATTGGCCGTAGCATTTGTTGCAAGTTTTTTCGACAAAGCGCAAATCCATTGACATTTTTTAATTACAAAGTTGTAAATCAAATGATGTTTCTATAAATCCAGTTGCTCCATTTCAACTTCATTTCCATTCAACCAATTATATAATAAAAAAACAAATAGGATTTGGATCCTCTCCACTATAAAAAAATAGTGAAAAACATTCAACACCGTTTCTTGTTTAATGGATGGTTATGATTCGCCTTCAGTGCATGATTATATTTTCCTTTAGTGAAAAATAAGAAAAAGTTCAATACATGAAGGATGTGGTAGGTGTAATTTTTTTGAATTAATCAGAACCACATTCAACAACAAATCATTGTGAAAATTGTCCCAATCCTTAAACAAACTTAGACAACAAAACTTAGAAGTGATATACTACCAATTTAGAGGAGAATAATGTGGCCATCTCCCCACTTTATAAATCATGTATTTCTAAATTTATTCTTTTTTTTGCTCTATTATTAATTGTATTTGATTATAATTGAGTTAAAAGGCCATAATAGTTTAACATGTGGATAACATGGCAATATGATTACTTTAATACTTCAATTCTTACATCCAACCTTATAGATTTTGTTTCATATTATTTTCAAACTACTGGGACATTAGCTATCACATGTTAAAGATATCACCAAAACATAATCTAAACCTCAACAACTATGGAAAGAAATATTACCGAAACATAATCTAAACCTCAACAACTATGGAAAGAAATATCACCAAAACATAATCTAAACCTCAACAACTGTGGAAAGAAATATCTTATACTTTTGGTGAGTAGTTATTATGTTATTGAAGGAAAGATAATTGGAAAAACTGAAGGGGGCGTTCATTTGTACGAAAGTGAGAGGCGAAAGTGTGAAAGTGAAATGCATTTGACACTTCGGGTGTTTGTTTAATTGAAAGTGGTTGTGAAAGTGAAATGACAAAAGAGATCCATGTCAGATTTAATGTAGGTTTCCCCTTGAAAAGTGCTAAAGTTAATATGAATGTGAGAAAAGTGAGAACCACTTTAATTAAATACAACAATTATTAATATTTTTCACACTTTTTAATCAGATTTTTTTTTGTGATTCTGCAGTTACAAAAGAGATTTAAAATTAATCTTATTGTTAACACTCAACACTACTCGAAGCTAAGGATGAAAATTCATGTACATCGGTAGGATGCGTCAATGTTATAGAAGGTGTTAGACGGACTAGGCGTTTGAGCCGGGCCTAGCGCCTAGGCGTTTGCCTCTTTTTTAAATTTATTTAATTATAATAATTCACAAAAATATGTATTAAGTTCATATAAAATCGAAAAAAACATAAATAACAAGCTTAGATCGATAATCAACTATGCATTAATACTAAATAGCCAAATTAGTAACCAAATACTAATAAACATCATGCCCAACATAACAAGTCATCGCAATTGTAAATAATATCGCAAACTCAAAAGTCTAATGCTCAAGAAGGTAAAAAACATGAATAGTCTAAATGTCTAGCATGTGATAATCATATAATCTAATGAAATCATCGTCATCATGGAAATTCTTAACCGCATGATCACTCGAAGTCCTCATGCTCGTTCGTGACATCATCGTCGGAGACAAAAGACTCTTCTTCGCTAGTAATCATCGAAGGTCCTGCAGCTCCTGTGATTCTTTCACTCCTTCGGTTCGTCGCAACCTCAGCCGCTCCAGATACATTCTCCACTAACGTCCAACTAACCTGAACCGGGATGAGTCTCTTCCTTGTCATCGGAGCACCAACGTCCAACTAAGCTGAACCGGGATGAGTCTCTTCCTTGTCATCGGAGGGGATTCCATCTAAGATCCATGCACATGCTGTAGTGCAATCCTGCGTTGTTAGTATGTCTTTATCTTCTCCTCTTCTTTTGCTTGAGCTTGACATTGAACTTCACAAACACAAAATCCACCAACCTCTTCGACTCCAATCTGTTTCTCTTCTTCGTGTGAATCTTTAAAGGAGAAAAAAATAAATTAGTAAAGTCATAAATGGATAACTTCATCTTATTAATTTAAGATATTTATGTAAATTACACCCTCATATGTGCTCCAGTTCCTCTTGCATCTGGAAGAACTGCTAGTGAGATTAAAAATCTTCATCGCCAAGTTTTACAGAAAGGGACAATCACCGTCATACATATACCGCCAACTAGTTGTAAACACATTGTCTCAGTTGAATTCACTAGTGCAAAAAATACCTTATGATTGATAATTTGATAAATTCAATTTATAAACTAAATTTACCTAGGTTGAAGTCCACTTTCTATCTAGATTTCACTGCCAAACTTCTACCAAATGAGCCCTTAGTCCACCCTCTATGTACTTCTCCATGAACTCCTTAGTAACCTTAGTTTGGTGTTCCTCATCAAGACAGAGCAACTTCACCATATCTAGAAACCCATCCTTCCCCTCCCTAGAGTTCCTAGCAACATCATCTCGAAAGAAGTAGCAAGGGTTAAAGACATAAGCTGTCATATGCAAGGGTGTATATAATCTATCCTCAAACTTGGAATATATAATATCGATCACCAACTTGCACAGGCTCTCTTGTTTCTTCAAAACAAACTTGATCTCCTCCTTTTGTGTCTTTAATCATCCCCACGACAAATCCCATTGAGGGTTTATAGTCGCTATCGACCATCCTCAACATGTGAAAAAAGGGACCATAAATTTTCAATAGCTTGTTTACATATTGCCACCAACTCTCACATAGGAACACAGGACAAGGGCTCCACTTTTGTACCACTTGCGATCTTAGAATGTTTACTTTTCCTCCATTCTTCATCAGAAAACATGAGTTTTAGCTTCAACTTCTTCTCATGAACATTCCGAAGGGTCAAGAATGCAGTGGCGAAGCAAGTGACTCTTGGTCTAACAATCTCCCTCATCTCACATATGTGGCGCATCATGTTCAAGATCTTGTGATGGCTGTAGATGAAGACGGTAAGACCCTTTACTTTTTTAATAGTTGTTTTGAAGGTTGGCAACTTTTCAATGCCCTCAAGCATCAGTGTCAATAGTATGAGCTGCACAACTGGTCCAAAAGATACTCGACCTCTTCTCCTTTAATTTCTCCTTTGTTGCCATATTTGCCGAAGCATTATCTGTGACAACCTGGATGACCTTCTGTGGGCCAATCTCCTCAATGCATGCATCCACCTACTCAAAAATGTATTCCCCTATGTGCGAGTCCCCGGAGCACTCTAATCGACTTGTAGAAAGTCGTGCCTAGCTTGCTGTAGATGCACAGGTTCATGACCGACTGCTGACCAAGTCTCATTCAAAGCACCCCTCAACAACGGCTCCCTCAACATATACATGCTAGGCGATCGGTAAGTACGTCCATAATCCCCAATAGTGCTGCACATACGCATAAAGGAGTCACTAGAGAGGGTATCAAAGGAATACTTTTCTCATATGCCTATCTAGCAACTTGCTTGTGGACCCAATCTCTCTTTTCCTTCGTATAAACTTCATTCACTCCAAGGCTGAACCATCTTTCCATTCAGTCTCTTTGCTGGCTCGGAATCACTAGCAGTATAAGCATCCATCAGCCCAACGGTTGGCTCTCTAGACCTCTTTGAAGCTCCGTCCGTTGTGTGTGTAGAGGAGACAATTTCTCTCCTTCAATAGCCATTGGATCCGGCTTGTCGAACTGTACTTCATCTTGCAACTCTAAGATATGCATCTCATTTAGTTTCTTTCTCCTGGAATTAGCATCCATAGCTTCTTGGATTTTTTTTCCTATCAGCAGCTGAAATCTTAGAGCACTTTATGCAACTGTTTCATCTGCCGGCAAGATGTTACTTCAATCTAAGGACCCCCTTTCATCTTGTGTGAGCACAATTTACATTGCACCAAGCACAAATTAGCTGGATTTTGAAGAAACACAAACTCCCAACCGATATCTCCTGAGTTACTTTTATCTTTCATAGGGGCTTTCGCGGGAATAGAGGTGAAACCTGCAGATTTCTTAGGAGGAATATCCGATATTCTGCATCACAACAATTCAATAAACAAACCATTCATAAATCAAATCATCAAATCATGACAAATAAAAGATTTAAATTAACTAAAATTGAACTAAGATTAACTAAAATTAACTAAGATTAAACTAAAATTAACTAAAATTGAACAATATTAAACTAAAATTAACTACAATTAAATAAATTAAATAATTAAACTAAATTAACTAGTTAATTAAACTAAAATTAACTAAAATTGAACAAGATTAAACTACAATTAACTAAAACTAACTTAATTAAACTAAATTGAACAATTCAACTATTTAAATTAAAAAAAACAGTTAATAAGTAAAAATTTGGTCTAAAATAGTAAATAAGCTAAAAACAGTTTACAAATAAAAGAAGTTTGAAATTTTACCTGAAGGTCGGCGAGAGAAGGCACGACGACGACGGCGGGTGATAGTTCGGTGGTGGCGGGTGATGGAGAGGGCTGGTGGGAGAGTTTCGACGGTGACGGGAGAGGAAGAGAGAGTAAGACTGAGACAGACTCCAGCCAGCTGGCCCGGGTGAGCCCCGCCCACCTGCGAATGCGGGAGAGACAGAAGAGACGAGCGAGAGCGCAGGCGCAGCATACCCCGGGGGTGCACGTAGACGAGGGAGAGAGATAAGGGCGGATATAACTGAGAGGGGGATGTTATTTAGTGTTTGAACTGGGTACGGGTTGCGGGTTTGGATAATGGATTCGATTTTTGATTTTTTTTGCCTTCAAGTGGGCCGCCTAGCCCTAGGTGGAGCGGTGACCTAGACTGGTCACTTCGGCCAAAAATAGGCGGCCGCTGGTCTGCCTACGCCTAGGATGCTTTTTATAACACTAGGATGCATGCATGTGACATTTGTTTTATAGTAGAAAATTGATGAAATAAATGAATGTATTTGATCTAAGGTTTTAAATGTCGGATGTCGGGTTCATGTCGGATGGCTAAAATCCATATCGGATAGCGAAAATCGGGGATATATCGGGGTGCCATATCGAGTAGTATGCATATGTATAATATCATGTCCTGAATGTAATCTAAGCATTCATAAATTCAATATAAGCATACTTTATAAATTCTATAGACTAAACATATAAAAAGGTAAATAATATATGGATTTGGGTTCATAAATTCTTTCTATCGGGTTCATAAGAAACCCTTAAACATGAGAACGGGTCAAACGTGTTTGGGTATTTATCACTAAACCCAAACCGGATAACAAAAAACAGAACTTAAAAAAAAGTACTATATCGGCCGATTTTTCAAAGCTAAAAAATAGGCCGATATGCCCGATATGATCCTGATATTTCCGATTTTGCCCTGAAAACTGATATACGAGTTGAAAACGTCCATATCGTGTCGGTCAAGCACTCAAACCGATATGTCGGCCGACATGTCAGACATGTCAGTCGACATTTAAAACCTTGATTTGATCATTAAAGTGAGATGTGTTATCTGATATTTATCAATCTTCAAACAGCCGACATCATATAATGGGCTCTTTAACTATAAATATTCAATCCCCTCCCCACCCAACCCCCAAAAAAGAAAAAAAAAGGAATAAAAGAAAAACTATAAATGTTTATGGTTCAGAATACGTTAGTCGGTGGAGGGAATGTGTAATTTCATTGAGAATGATTTGGAAAATTTAATAAAAATAATAATATGGTCTTGCCACACCTCATTATTTTTCTAGCTTCAGCAATAATTTGTTTTGCAAACAAACATTATATTTGACTTGTATGCTGACGTGGATACTTTCTTTCTTGCGAAACTGTGACTTTCACCCTTTCAATTGGCTTTCAAGTTGCTGATACCCCCTCAATGTTTTGGGAGTGAAATCCGATAATCTCGATCCGAAATGACCAAAGCTACTGATACTGATGCCTCAAAGAGAGATCCTGTATCGATATTGATATCAGGATTTCATACCTTCTTTATTGTTGTTAACAATGAAGTGGGCTCAGCTCAATTTCAATGAAGTATGGCTGATTGATTAAGTAGGTTCAGCATAGGTTGAGTTTGAGTTGGGTTCAACTTTATCAAATGAAATGTAGCTCCTTTAACTAAACTCAATCCAAAGAAAACAGTATGAAAAACCTAAGCCTGACTCAACTCAGATATCTTTAACTAATCGAAATTTATGATAATTTCTTGGATACTGGGCGAGTTAGAATTTGCTGTCCTTGTCTTGCTTGTATCATGTTGTGGTTCGTTCCTGTGTCCTTGCTTCATAGCTACAAGTTGTGCCTTGTAATTCAGTGAGTTCATAATGTTAGGTCGGAATGTCAATAGCATGCACATTGGTTAGCCTTTCGAGCTTTAAAGCGAACATAATATTACTCAATAAATGGACTTTCTTTATGTATAAGTTGGCTATTGACTTCACTATCTACCATCTGGTTACATAAAATGGTCTTCGAGCAGTAGACTTTTATGTTCAAGGTCTTTAAGCTCTTATGCGGAAATTCTAGGTTACATGTTTATTTCTTCCCATGTACATAGGAGGGTGCTGCAAGTTAGCAGGGAGTTTTGAGGTTAAGTGGACTCGACAATGGCCCCTTGTGGCAACTTTGTTCGAGTCATTTGATTTACATTTATGTCTTACTTCTATATTATATCTGTCAGACCATTAATTCTGGATGCACATACATTTCCCTTCTTTCCTATGGAATTCTAAGGCCGTAACTTGTTAAGCGAAATTTCTGCTAATGCTAACACCGAGTCATATCCAGGTAGAAGATCAAGGCACATGGAACTTCAAGCTGAGGGAATGCCTGGACCACAATATCCAGAGAAATTCAGTTTCTGGGTATGCAGATTTTCTTGGTCTCATGCTTTCCCTTTAACAGTGTTAGTACGGCATACATAATCCTTTGTATTAAAATTTTGCAGCTTGTGAACCTGTTAAACTTGAGGCCAAGGCAGAGACTGGAACTATTGCGTCTAAGAGATACCCGAGAGGTACACCTTTTGGCTTTTGAACAGGCAAATGCTTGTCTCAATAGTATCAGTTTCTGTGTTTTAATTCTCGTGTTACATATTTATCTGCAGAGGATAACCTATAGCATCGGCTTTCTTAGAGCTGCAGAACAAGTCTGTGGAGTCCAATAATATAAATTTTGTTCGTTAACTAATGGATACTTCATATACAGGTTAACACTATTTCTTTTTTCTTTTTTCTCCTTTGAGGATGGTGGGTATATTTTGTAAAGCGATTTAATTTAAAGTGATATATTCTGGTAAATTCTGCTTATATGTGTAACTATAGGAACACCATCCAATACAAATAAAATAACCTTTGTTTTTTATTCTTTTGTGAAGTTCGGTTTGTTCACATGGCAAGTTCTTAGAACTGATAATTGTAGAATTAGCAGCAATGGGTTTCCTATTACTACTCTTCGAACTATCTAACGCACAAAACACGGTTCACATGTTTGTCATTTGCAGACTTGTTGTAAAATGGTGATATTGCTAAAACAAATTGTTATGTTAATAATGCTGCAAAGATGAGATGAATTGAGGTAGGACCAGGGACTTCGAGACTAGACAGTGATTGGAATCATAAATGCGTTTCAGAACAGAATTTATATATCGAAGGGCTAAACGGCCAACAAGCTTTACTGATGAGCCTGGAATGAGTAATGTTTATGTATGTAGAGGGTTTGACTTGTATCTTCAATTTACTGCGCTATAAATTTAATGTACATGAATGCATGACTCGTGTACTTTTTGATATGACCACTTTTTTTTCCCCACTTCTTTCTGGGAAGTGAAGAGGAAAATACTTTTAGCCGGATAACAAGATCACCTATATATCAATGCCCAACGCCATTTTCTTCAGGGTTTACAATATTGTAGGATAAAATGTTTAATCTAGTTAACCTGGATTTATAGACTCTTGTGTGAAATAAGGACCAAGAAAATGGACATTGCATGGAGGAAATATAGAATCGAATTTGAGAACTAGCCTGTAATATAGTATATCCATGTAATATCTCCTATATATATGCATATTGATTTTCTAAGTTTAGGAAGTTTTGGAGAATGATTTGAATAGTTTGACATCAATGCTGCAAATTCATAAATCATGGTACGTAGAGTGTATAAGATCCTTTTGAGATATATGCTCCATAGAGGAGCACCAGTGGTTGAGAGAACTCAATTTTGGTGACTGACAATCTTTGAAGAATGTGAAAAAAGATCTACGCTTGAGAAACAAGCCCTCTATTGAGAGATTGAGGATGAACATGAAGGATAGTCATGGATTTGTCCTTCAACAAATGTTGATCACTGACGAAAGGATCTTGTGGATGAATATAAAACAAGTTAAAAGTGTTTCGAAAGGACTTTATTTATTTAGAAAGTTGTTATGTTAATAAAGGTTCTAGTTCCTTATGTAATTAGGAATAATAGTATTCTATAATAAATAAAGGTAGAGGGGAGAGGGAAATTAACTTTGTAATCTCTCTAATTACCTCAATTAACATAAATAAGAGTTCAAAGATCATTACTTCGAAGAAAATGGAACAGTGTTTTGAGGTTGGAGGCTTGCGTTGAACTTGATGGGGAAGTACCTAGGATCGTGTTGAAACAACTAAGTCACTTAGAGGCAATTAAGTGTCATGTAATGACTTGGGCAATGCAATTAGGATATATTAAAAATGATCCTTGTCAAACTTGATGAGGAAAATGAAGGAGTTATCTGACAAACTATATAACATAAAGAAACATTTTCTTTATTACTTAAAACCATTCATACATGGTAATATGAAATATTGAAAAGCATGGAAGCTGTCGGAGATAGAAACCGAACAAGTGAATTATTGCAATCCACTGAAAAATGGATGACTGGAGAATGCAAACAGCTGAACAAGTCATGCCTGTGTGGTAATCTTCTAGGTGTGTCTCATTTACTGTATGATGATATTCCTATTATGAATAGAAATGATCTGTCATCTTTCTAGGCCTAATTTGCCATTTTTTGTACTTTTGTTCAAGTAGTTGGTTTGAAAGTGCATTGACACTATTTATGCTACCAGCTTTACTGAAGAGAAGGCTATGTATTGTTGTTAGTCATTTATTGTCATGCTGATTATAAGCTGAAAAGAAATATGGGTCTATGAAGAGTGACGGCCGAAGATATACAGAAAACGTGCAGGTAATTTGAGGCAGATTCAAATGGTGAAAGCGAATCATGTAAATATGTTGCACACAGTTAACTGCTAGGTGACAGCGAATCATGTAAATATGTTGCACGCAGGAGTTTATCTCCAACTTTCTCTCCAAATTGGAAAAATTGAATTTGGATAGATTTGATATTCTTTTCCGAGCTATGTTGTCCTTGACCTGGTTTTAGTTTCTTAAGAAAGTATTGTTAGTTGGTCTGGGAATTCCTAATGGTATGTGCTGATACAGTCTGTATTCCTTACAAATAACCAATGAACTGTTATTAGTTTTCCAGAATATTTGATGCAACTAACTTTAATGATTGTCAAAATATCCTAGAGCTTGACAAGTGGAGACAGTACCTTAAAACTTATAAACATCTAGGGTCTGAAGAACGCATGACATCTTTAAAAAGTTGACCGAGTAGGCTTGGAGCTTGTTATTTTTTCTTCTCTTTTTTTTTCTTATGACAATTTGATTGAGTTTCTTTTAATTGTCAGGTTTCTAAGTGGATTGACTGTCATTGCTGTTAATGATTTTTATTCGCCTGTCCACCAACTTACCTAATCCCTAAAAGTGCAGTCTTGTTCTTGTTTGGTTGATGTGGTCTCATATATTAGAGGTTTTTCCGCTGCCATTAAAGAGCATGGAGAGTGCCGCCTTTCCTCCACGTGGCGTACAATTCTCCAGAGCACTTCTTTACTCGTTGAAAAACTTACTATTATTTGAACTTTTCACAGGCTGAGACTAGCTCCTGCAAGCAGTACGCACTTGAGCAACATGGCAAATGTCTAATCTTGGAATATAAAATATTTTTCACAAGTTGATTTTTTTTTGTTTTTCTATTTATTTCTAAACCGATGCGTAGTTAAGATGACTGCCAATTACGTGAAGACAACCTAATTTCTTTCCCAGGAGGTACTTGATCCATCATAATTAAAAAAAAAAAAGTCATTCATACATTACCTCATTAACTTGTTGCAGTATTAAAATCATGTTAAATCGTTCTCATTAATTTTAATTTGCTTTCATGATACTGGGTTAACCTTTCCGCCCCAATTACTGCATTCCATTTGTCAAAAATTTCCTTTTCTTACTGCAGAAAGTACCCATTGCTGACTCTTGATTTTTTCTCACTGCTGTTTCTTTTTATCATTGCTTCCATGAACAATTACTTCAACATGGCCTTCCATTGCTAGTTTCCATAGTGCATGATTAGATCGCATATTTGCATTATGATAATATGGTGACTTTTCTTTGTGATACTTGCTGTGATACCCCAGGTTCTATCAAGTTTAATACTATGGGAGTAAACATATGTGGATCAGTACAGCAAGAAAATATTTCAAGTTGCGGTCAGGACATCTGTTAGCTATCTTCTTTAAGAAACTGATTATGATTTGATCTTAATAAGAAACAGAGAGTGCTTTTGAAAGTTGGATAATTGTCAAAGTGTCATTATATAATGATCACAAATGGTTAAACTCTTAATTTTTTTCTTCTTCTTAGAAATCGGATAGCTCTAGGATGACGTCTTGTCCCCTCTACAAATCCTAAGAGAAATTTTGTAAACATGGCATCTCCCTTGATCTCTTTCATGGACATGAGGCAAAAAGGTAATCTTTGTCGCTATGCGACTCAGCATCTTATTTTGATGCCACCCATCTCCATCATCTCAAACCCCCACTCCTATTATATTAGAACTTGAACTATTATTTGAAGGGGAAATAACCCAGAAGTCAAAGGTTACATCCAATAATTCCTTCTAAGACTTCAAATAATTCCTAAATAATTAGATTGTCACTATAGAACTACAATTAGGCTAAGATCCTAACTGGTTCTGACGTTAAAGAACGAACCTAGCTGCTGGTAGTTCTCATCTAAGCCCTAGATTAGAGGATTTGGGACAGGTTTGAGTTTAGCTTTGGTTGAGGAAACTTTCACCTTAATGACTGGCCTCTTTTAAATGTGAAATTTTATTATATATTTAATTTAAATTTTTTTTTGATGCTCTATTCAAGTGCGAAAGTTCGTGTTGATCTATAATCATCTATATAGATCCATGCCTTTGCAATCCTCCGAGTTCTACTACGGGGAAAAGGAAAATATGGCTGTCAAACCTTTTCATCTATGCAACACGGACACCTATATCATGAAAACTTATTGTTTCAGAAGTGTGCACATAGTGGATTCGTCTATCGTTTGCAATAATATTAGAATGTTATGTTTGTCAGTGTCATATCCAAGTCATTGTGGTCGTCGATGAGCCATAGCTTTCCAGACATATTTCTGTGTAGGAATATGGTGCCACATGATCACATAGATTCTTACCTGGCTTTCTGCATCTATGTTTTTTTTTGCCTGTGGTCATAGGTTGTTTATTATGCTTATAAAAAATAGTTGGATCGGGTTGCCTGATGTCTTGGATTTAGTCAAATCTAAACCATAGAACTTGAGCAACATATAGGCTCTGTTTGGCAAAACTAGCTGAAAGCTGCGAGATTATAGCTGAAAGCTGTTAAGCTAGCTGAAAGCTGTGAAATTGTAGCTGAAAGCTGTTAGCTGTGTAGCTAGCTGATTGACTAGAGCTGTTTGGCAAAAGTAGCTGTACAACTAGCTTAAGTTTGTTAAATGACTAAAAAAGACATGCAATATTATTGATATAAAATTAGAATTATTAGGGGCAAAAACGGCAGACAAAAATTGGCAGCTCATTCCCAAAGACAAACGCTACTTGAGGTAGCTTTTCAAAAGCTACTTGCAAAAGACACAATCTCTAAAATAATCTCTTCCTATTTTTGGTCACCAAACAGCTCTACTAGCTTATTGACCAAGTCAATAAGACACAAGCTCTTAGATAAGACACTTTTTTTAGTTGCCAAACAGTGCCATACTCATTTTTGTGTAATTTGCTTTTAATAATAATCAAAATGTTTTAGGAGAAGGCTTCAACGTACAATTCAATATCAGGAAATGGAGTCAACACCAAAAGGGGGAAGATTAAACACTTGACAGACACAATGAGCTCAATGTGAAAGAAAAAACCTGATAGAATTTGTAGAAAGAATAAAATATGCGACCTATAAGGACATGAGATACTACAGACAAAGAGATAATATTGTTCTAATGAACGGAAAGGGAAAATCTTTGACCATCAAGCTGTTGCATAAAACTAATGAGAAAACTTAGGAGCAACTGATGAGGCAACAATTTGTATTCTTCCAACAGTAGGAGGAAAAAAAGGAAGAAGAAGAAGATCGATGACATCTCTCCTTCTCTTCTAAGTCATCAGGATCCTTTTATCAAACAAAGCATCTTCAACGGTCACTTTTGTGTACGCAATCAAAAAGGTGAAGTTTGTCAAGCAACAAAAAGGTAAGGTTTGTTATCATGTGCATTTTATTTTGTGTGGGTTATAGAGGGGTATCTCAAAGGCACCACTTGGCCCTTTACTGTATTATTTTTAGACCTTCTTGTCTTCTACCCTTATATTATATGTATCATTGTTTAATTGCTTTAGAGTTTTGACAGTTTCTTGTGTATCTTATCATTATCATCTTATCCAAGTGCATCGTTTCCCTCCTGGTTTTCAGTACTAATCGAGTGATATTTATAATAATCTGATTGTAGCCTGGTAAAAATGTTTTTTATTGTTTTCTTTCTAGTCCAAATGTTGTGCTAGGCCAAAGGAAATTTTTTTTAAACTTAAGATCAGAATTTCTATAAGGAGCTCTAGGTCAGAACAGTCTCGAGAAATATCATCAGCTTGTTAAAAATGTACTTATTGGCTTCTTTCTAGTCCAAATGTTGCGCTAGGCCAAAGGAAAACATTTAACATAGAGACCAAGTATCCTAGGTGATGATATTTCTCAATGGAGCTCCAGGTCAAAACGGTTTTGAGTTTAGCTTTAGATAAGGAAACTTTTAAATAGGGACCAAGTCTCCTGTGATCATTTACGTAGATCCACGCCTTCGCTATTCTCCAAGTTCTACTATGGGGAAAAAGAAAATATGGTTGTCAAACCTTTTCATCCATGCAATTCAGACACTTCTATCATGAAACTTAATTCTGTCAGAAGCGTGTATATATAGCATACGTATGTTGTCTGAATTTTTTGGAATTTTATGTATGTCAATAAGTTATATCCATGTCATCGTGTCCGTCTATGAAATGAAACATATTTCCAGACGTACAGCCATGTAAGGATATGGTGCCATATGGATCACAAGAATCATGTAGATTTCTAGCCTGGCTTTCCGCACCTCAGTCTAATTTATTTTCTGTGGACATAGGTTGAGTATTATATTTAACAAGAATAGTCTGGTCAGGTTATCTGATGTTTTGGATTTAGTCAAATCTACATAATAGAACTTGAGTAACATATACGCTATGGTGTATAATCATTTTAAGTATCCCTGGTATAGCCTGATATGTTGACCGATATATCCTTTTAAAAGGCCTGCAGCAAAACGATATGGTCTCAATATCCTTCACTGCTTTTTAACAATTTTTGAGCGATATATCCCCGACATGCATGGCCGATATGTTAGCCGATATCTTGGTCGATATATCATTTATATAGCTTGTCCAATGTAGTTCTCCAAAATTTCTTTAATGTATTTTAGCAAAAAAATCCATCCCCATATGCAGTTTTTAGCAAAAATCTAGTATGCTCACTTCCCTAAGTAAGTTTCTACTACTTGTTAGTGATTCTAAACATATATTATTTACATTTTTGTATGGTTAGATTTTATTAATTAAGTACACACTTACTATGAATATGTTCTAGGAGAAGGCTTCAACTGTTGAATTTCTGGAAATGGTGTAAACACAAAAAGGGGGAAAAGACTAAATGCTTGACAGAAAAAATAAACTCGCTGTGAAAGAGAAAACTTGGCAGAGGATAATAAAATATGTGACCTATAAGGACATCAGATAATACTGGCAAAGTTATAATATTTCTCTAATGAACAGTAAGGGGAAAGATTTGACCACCAAGGTTGTTGCATAAAGACTAGTAAGAAAACTCAGGAACAAATGAAAGAGGATTTTTCAGGCATGACCGACTGACAGAGGCAACAACTTGTATTTTTTCCCAAAAAAAAAAAAAAAGGATGTCGATGACTCTTCTACTCTTCTAAATCGTCATGATCATTTTATTAAACAAGGCGTCTCCAGCGGCAGCTTTTGTGTACGTAATCGAGAAGGTAAAGTTTGTCGAGGAACAAAAAGAGGACCTTTGTCACCGTATGGTTTTTAATTTGTGCTGGTTGTAGAGGGGTATCTCGCGTACAGCGCTCGGCCCTCGATTGTATTATGTTAGAGCTCCCACCCTCGTATTATGTATATTATTATGTAACTTACATCAAATTGAGATATATAGAATGCTAATTTATATATCGTTGCTGCTGTTGTGCGGTGTATATATATGCCTCCGGCTATTCCTCAACGGCTACACACAGTTTTCTTTTCTTTACATTTTCTTGTATGTTTAAGCTAAACCATCGATACTTTGAGTTCTTTCTATTGAAGTCTTTTTATTCTGTGTGACTGCCTTTAAACCAGCGTATTGACACCTCTTAGAACATCCTTGGCTTGTACTTGTTGAGACCACACATTGACGTCAACATTCAATCGGGAACATTTTATGTTTTTTCTGAAAAAACATATGAAACTTTAATGAAAACAAATCTTTTATTTAAGAAGCTAACAAGACACACCAAAGGAAAAGGAGAATGCGATGCCTTTATCTGGATTGGTTTAGAGTTATAAGAGTCTTTTGTTCATCTTATTAAGTTATCCGAGGGCATCATTTCCTCCGTGATTTTCAGTATTAATCTAATGGCGTTGGTAGTAATCTGATTGCAGCTTGGTAAAAAGGTTTTACTGTTTCCTTCTACTCCAAATGTTATGCTAGGCTAGGGGTGTCCAAAAAGCCCGAAGCCCGGGCCCGGCCCGGTGCCCGGCCCGGCCCCGGCCCGGTCGTGCCCGGGCCCGGGCCCGGCCCGGGCCCGGAAACCCGGGCAAAACCCGGGTCCGGGCCCGGGCCCGGGTCGCCGTTGGCGAGCTCATTTCCTCCGTGATTTTCAGTATTAATCTAATGGCGTTGGTAGTAATCTGATTGCAGCTTGGTAAAAAGGTTTTACTGTTTCCTTCTACTCCAAATGTTATGCTAGGCTAGGGGTGTCCAAAAAGCCCGAAGCCTCATTTCCTCCGTGATTTTCAGTATTAATCTAATGGCGTTGGTAGTAATCTGATTGCAGCTTGGTAAAAAGGTTTTACTGTTTCCTTCTACTCCAAATGTTATGCTAGGCTAGGGGTGTCCAAAAAGCCCGA